TTTTTTTTTTTTTAATGAAAAGAGGGCCTTCTGGCCACTTCAGGGTCACTCACCAGAACTCTCCCTCTTGGCCTTCTCACAGAGGTCCTTTCTGTCCATCTGGTGGAAGACCCTGAAGGTCACTTCCCAGGCGTGTTCCTCCTTGTAGCACTTGATCAGCAGATTGGCCAAATCCTCCCGCGTGGCCTTCCTGACCTCAGTCCAGGGAATTGGCTCAAGTCCAAGATCCACAGCCTCCTTTCTCAGGAGCAGCTTGAACCTTTTGAACTCCTCCTTTTTAAGCTCCCCCAGATACCACATCAGGCCAAAATCGGAAAAGAAAGAGGCTGCCATCTTGTTCCAGGCCAGCGGGGTCAGTGTTCTGAGAGAATGTAGGGAGAAGAAATGAATGGAACCCGCGGGTGGGTGATACAATTTACAGGAATATCAAATCATTCCAGGCACCCTCGTGCAATGCCCAACAGTTAAGGCTGATTTGTTCCTTTTCCTCCAAACCTCCTAGTCTATTGAGAGGAAAATTCTCGTCACCCAGGAATAACGTGGTTTTATTTGTCCTTACTTTCCAATGTAGCATCCGAGACTTTTATTTCTCTCAAGCCATTTCATTAGGACTGAATGCAGACATCATACCATTCCATAGTTCACTCGTATCACGCAGTGCTGTACGATCGCTTCCACAATCAGTTTCAAACATGGTCTCCCTTCTCCTGCTCCCTGATATCAGCTCCCTGTTGCACCCCCACCCCCACCTTCTCTACCATACCCCCTCGGGAACCCTTAATTCCAGTTTTTTGTCGCTATATTCACCCATCCTGTGTTTTCTAGATGGAAAAAACATTGGGAAATGCATAACAGAGTCAAGAAGGCTACCAGCAATGACAAAACACAAGAGATAAACCCCAATCTGGAAGGGAAAAACCCCAGAAAATATTGAAAACAGATCAAGCACCAAGTGTATCAAAAGGGAGATCGAATGACAAGATTGTAACCTTGCAAGTCAGATCTGTCATTTTAACCTACTACAGGCGTGTCTCCAATCATCTCTAGCTGATCGCCAGGTCATCCCATGCCTCAGTCCCGGTTCGAGGGAAAGCACGGGAGGCTTCTTCCCTTGGAGCTCCTGCGAATGTATTTCGGACTTCCTCTGTTCCTCCGTAGCCTTCTGCACCCCGGAATCTCACAGCTGAAGCTCTGACACCAGGCCCTGCGTTGGATTTGGATCATTTAATTTACAATCTTTGGAATGGATGCTGGTGTGCCTCTTCGACGTGGGCTTAGTGGACACTGACCTTCGGCTGCACTAGACCGTTTCAGAGTCCACAGTCCACACGCCCGTGGCTTCTCAAAAGGAAGGGCTCCACAAAGATGCTCATTGGCAGGGACTCGAATCTGACCCACAGCAGTCCTATAGGACCAACCAGAGAGCGGCCTAGAGGATTTCCTAGATGTCATCTTTAAGGAAGCAGACAGTCATCTTTCTCCCACGAGGGGGTTGGTAGGTTTGACCCACTGACCATGAAGATGACCTAGGAATCCCCAGGGGGAACGTCCACTCTGCCGCAGAGTCGCTGTGGGTTGGAATCAACCCCACCGCCCAGAACCTTGAGTGAAAGTAGTCATTCTGAAAGGTGAACGATGGTCAATGAACAGACCCCTTTTGGCCACGGTTCCTTCTGGCATATAATTCTGTATTGGCTGCACCCTTGGATATAGTCCCCCAGGAGGAGGATGGGATGAAGACTTGACCTAAGTAGGGGGTGGGGATCAGGCCACAGTCTTGGTTTCCTTGGAGATGTAATGATGCCGCCATACGGCGGATACACACACCCATCGCCTCTGTGGGAAAACCAGACCGCCTTTGTCCTCACTGAGCATTGGCAGAAGCAAGAAGCCCTGCTGCGGCTGTTGACTATGTTTGGCCCCTGGCTCTGGACTGTCTGCCCTGGGCTCACCTCTGCCTGCCACTCCGATTTTGGACTGAACAGCACCGGCGCCACGGGAGACATTCCCTCAAAGTTTTGCGAGTTTCTGTAGAACATTGCTGCAAATTACAGAACCCAGGGACATGAGGGAATAGACTCAAGGAGAGAGAGAGAGAGAGAGAGAGTGTGTGTGTGTGTGTGTGTGTGTGTGTGTGTGTGTGAATGGAGACTAGCATCTTGGAGAAGTTGGACCTTTAGGACATCTTGACATTCTTACCAGGCGGGCAGGAGGGGAGAGGGTTAAGCTTTGATCCCCGCCACGGCCATCACGCAATTCCGTTTGTGGACCGTTTCCACGTGCCGGCAACAGTGCTCGCAGTCCTAAAAGGATCGATCTGCAGAGCTGGGGGAGGACAGAAATGACAGGGCAATAAAATTAGTTTCCCAACCACAGTTCCTCAAGAGACGGCTGTTGCAGAGTGGAGGGACTGGGAACGTGTCAGCTGCAATGGGAAGGTTTCAACAGCTGGAGCCTGACACTGAAGGACGTGGCACCACACTTAAGGAAACCCCAGAAAAGGCCTTCTTAAGAAGAGGAAACCGTTCAATTTTGGCATCAAGGATGGCAGTACAGGTTTCTCTAGCAGATTAGCAGCTCCACAAGAGAGGACTCTCACTCCCAGGCTCCTGAATTAGGAGATGTGCCATTAATACTCGTGGATGGGCCGAGCTTTATCAGCGCTTTTCTTTTATCAGCACATTTTTAATGCCATTTTTGTGGTAAAATTAGGTGCCTCGGCTGATATTCAGGTTGGCTTATACTTGAGTATATATGGTAGATCCCTGGCAAGAAAATACCAATGCATGGGAAGAAGATGGGGGAACCCATCCCATTGATCGACGGACACCACCACCACCACCCCCACCCCCGCCTGGGGACGACCCACAGAAACGTGGGTGGAGGGAGGCAGCAGACGGTGTAAGATATGAAAACAAAACCCACGTATAAATCATCAAGGCTTCACAAGGGAGGGAGGGGAACAAAGAGGAGCTGATGCCAAGGGCTCAAGTAGAAAGAGAATGTTTTGGAAATGAGGATGGCCACCTGGGTACAAAT